TATAGTTGAGTGGTTTGAGCTGACAATCTGTCAGCATTTTGCCCGGTTCTTCTAACCTTACTTGATGAAAAGGTCATAGCTGAGCATTTGTAATGAACAAAGTATCCACCAGGCTATTGACAGACAGAACATCTCCAAATCTGACCTGTGATTAACTTTTATTGGTTAAAGCCACTATCCTAAACATGCTTCCTATGGAGTATAATTCGCTAAAACAGTAGGAGTTATGTATTTTTACAACAATTGGCATCCAATTAGTGGCATACACATCCAGGTGTTAAGTTGTACTACACATGCAGAGTGGTTTTATTTTTGGAAAATACACAATGGTTGTATCCAGCTGACAGCAGGGTAAAGAGAATTGCACATGTGGAACCATTGTGTATGCAGCAGAACATTAAAATACATACAATAACATGTGAATGCACATTGCCTCTATGCATTGGCTTTGCACATTGTGCATTATAATTACAAAATGTGTTGTCAGCCATGCATATTGATTATGGATCAACATACATTGTATGATATTAGTATACACTATAAGTGATGCGTAAGAGCTATTATAGTGCAGAGGTTTGAATAATTGCCACGACACTGGAAACCCAGGTTAGAATCCCTATTTGGCCATGGAAGTCCACTGGGTGACTTTGGTCAAGTTGCATTCTCTCAGTCTTAAAGAAAAGCAAAGGCAAACCCTCTCTTGAACAAATCTTGCTAAGAAAACCCTGTGATAGGTTTGCCTTAGGGTTTCCATATGTCGGAAATGAATTGAAGGTGCACAGCAACAACAAAAGTAACTCCACTGGTGGATATTTACCCTATACTGAAGTGATGTAAGTTAAAATAAATAGTTAAAACAATATGTGGTACAAAAGTTTAAAAAACAGTAAATAACCATTCAAATTAAAATGTTTATTTAAAACAATTAAAAGCACATTCATCACAATAACAAAATAAAATACAGTACACCCAGAGGTCCAAGCAGGGTTCAGGAAAGGAAGAGACACTAGGGATTACATCGCAAATATACAAAAGAAAATCAGCATGTGCTTTATAAGCCATAGCAAAGCCTCTGACTGCATAGATCATGAAAGGTTATGGAACACCCTTAAAGACATGGG